TCCGTGCATGCCCCCTGGTGGTCAGCGCCCGTCATAGTGACCAGCTGTTCCACTGTTCAGTCTATTTGCATATTAGCCTTTTATTATATAGGATATGATTCTTTATAGGATTTTCTATGCATAATTAAAACATATCTGTAATGTATAAATATGTTCTTATAAAAATATCACACAACACAAAAGCATCAAGAGTAAAGTCTTTTTATCACCTCCCAACCTTTCTTCTCCCAACTATTACATTTGGATGTATCTTTCCGCCATGTACTTACAAATATGTATGTGCATATTCAGAAAATAGTCTTGTTTAGTTTTTACATATTAGTTTTTTTTTACTTACGTAATAGTTTTACATAGTTTTTACATTATACATATAATCTTCCATTTCATGTTTTTCAATAACCAGTGCATCTTGGAGCCCTTTTCATGTCAGTACATTCTTGTAAAGGGCTGCATCGTATTAATATTCCATAGAATGTATGAACATAATTTAAATAACTCTTTTACCACTGATTAAAATTTGGGTTGTTTCCAGTTTTCCACTATTATGAACAACATGATAATGAACATCTTTTTACACATTTCATTGTGTCCCTGTTTAGGCATTTCCATAGGGAAAATACCTAAAATCCCTGGGTCAAAATTTAGCTAAACACTGATAATAGCTTTATAAATTTACATTCCAAATAACTTTATCAATTTACTTCTCACAGTAGTGAATGAGTGCCCATTTTCACACATCCCACCAACACTGGACATCCATCCATTCAACAAATATGTATTGAGCAACTACTATGTGCCAGTCACTGTTCTAGAAAACTAGGGCACATCTATCCCTGTGGCACTTATAGCCTGGTAGAAGAAAACACTAATTATCATTTATCATATTCTCTTAAAAAGCATAATTTTCTAAGGGGACATATGTAATACTTTCAATAATAAATTTTTAAAAAGCATTCTTTTCTTATTTTGTCACTTATGTAGAATGTTGTCATAAATATTACGAAAAAAATACAATATGGTAAAGAAAATTAGGAATGCCAGTGGGACTGAGATTTGGAATAGTCAATATTTGAGCCTCCCTTCAGGGACATGAGTGCAAATCTTGAGGAGTGTTCTAGGCAAAGGAAACAAACAGCCTAGTGCAGAGGCTCGGCTAGGAATGTGCTGGGATGTTCAGAGGTGCAGCAAGGAGGAAGCGCGGCTTGAACGGAGTTGGTGAAAGAACCAAGAGGAAAGAGGGAGGTCAGATTAGGTAGGGACTTGCAAGCAACTGAAAGGATTTGGCTTCAACTCCGACTGAGGAGTGACATTATAAAGTTTTGAGCATGAGTGATATGATCTGTCTTGGGTGTTAACAGCCTCACTCTGGCTGCTATGTTAAGAACAAACTATGAGAGTAGGCAGTGGAGACAAGCATGGAAGAAGTCAGTTAGGCGGGTATTGCAATAATGTAGTTGAGATTATAGTGGCCTGGGCCAATGAGGTGAATAGAAATAGGGTGTGAGTGATAGAGGAGTTGAGAGATTGTAGTTTAATTTTGCCAAATGAATAGGTACAAATTTATATCTCATGCTTTAATTTATATTTCCCTAACTACTAGTGAGTTTAGCATCTTTTCACATGTTTACTGGCTATTGTTTTCCTAAAAAGTTCATTTTGTTTTCCTTTCCTATCCTTTGGTTGATTTCCTTACCAAAAATCTTGTCCATGGGGTAGCTTTGTTTGCTGTTTATCCAAAATCTGAAATTAATTTCTCATTTTAAAATGATAGCATTGCAGAGCTGGTACGTAATACAGGATTACTTGGTAAAACCTCCTTATAGACAAGCAAACTGGGTCTTAAAAATAGTAATTGTGGCTCAAAAAAGGTCAACTGGGCCTCAGTTGAGTGACTTATTCAAGGTATACAGGTAAGTATTGGAGGTGTTATTAAAACTTAGCTTTCCTGATAACCACTCTATTTCACTTTCCATCGACAGTATCATTTTATCTTATTAAGAACTCTGTTTTTACCAATAAAACAAATTGAGACCTAACAAACTCTGCCCCATGAGGGCTCAGATTTGGATAGGATAGTTCATCAAAAGGAATATCAATAAAAATTTACTACCCAGGCTAAGAAAATAGACTTGCATTGCTTTTTCTCCCACTGTAACCTTTGAAACAGAAGAAAACAGGTGAGAGGTTTTCCTGCCTAGCTCCTCTCGCCCGTCACGCTGAGATCAATAATCATTCCCCAGGCTCCTTTCTGCCTCATTACCATTCTAATTTGTCTTAGTCGAATCCACTTAGGGTATTAGGGTTTTATTTGTTTCCCTACTGTAATCAACAACCTTTTAGATTAGGGGAAAAGAGAAAAGAATAAGACCAGCTTATTTTAGTGAAAAGGGAACTGGGAATATTAGAACATGTGAACCAAGTCCTGTCGAGCCTGTCCTGTTCAGCAATATGTGCATGTCTCACTGAGGGCCTGGGACCCTTCTAGGAAAAACCTGATGTTGGGTGCTAGAAACAGGCAAGAGGCTCTGAGATAAGCAAGAGGGGTGAGAGGATCCATCTTAGCCAGACATATTTTAAAGCAATTGGAAGATCAGAGACTGAACGGGCTTCAGACGGGAACAAAACTGATGAGAGCACGTTTAGAAAGGTGGGTGGACACTTTACAAAGGTGCTGCTGCTGAGCTCAGTGTGTGCCTGCTTTCAAACATCTCAAAAGCCCAGGCGGTGTGGCTCAGTGGTTGAGCATCGACCTATGAACCAGGAGGTCACAGTCTGAGTCCCGGTCAGGGCACATGCCTGGGTTGTGGGCTCGATCCCCAATGTGGGGTGTGTGGGAGGCGGCCAATCAGTGATTCCTCTCATTATTGATGTTTCTATCTCTTTTCCTCTCCCTTACTCTCTAAAATCAATAAAAATATATTTTTAAAAAAACCCACAAAACAAAAAAAACATCACAAAGGCCTTTTTCAAAAGAGTAATTTATGCTCACTATAGAAAATTTGGAATATATATATTATGTATTAAAGACCTAGCCTTTTCTGTACATGTGCACACTACACACATAAACACTGGTAAAATGGTGTGGTCCAAAGAAATGTACAGTAATTTAGCTTAGGGTATAGTGGGTTGAGTTGATGAGGGTACAGAGATTAAAACTCACACTTTCATGTATTTTCCAAGTTGTCTGCAATCAAAAAAAGACAGCAGTGACTGAGACACCAAGGAATATTCTCTCCTCTGAAACAACCCCAAAGAATACTTAGGGCAGAGCAGGATAGTGCAAGCATGTCAAGCTTGCAGCCGGCAGGCTGCATGCCTCTTTTACTTAAATGAGGAATGTGGCCCGCCGGTCGCGAGTTTGACATGCTTGGTAGGGCTTCAACAGCTAGGGGGCTTCAACAGTAAGAATAATACAGCAAGTAGAAATAGAAAAACACTAATCCCAGATACACTAACCCTCAAAGACAGATACAGATCTTTAATTTAGAATTGAGCAAGTTTAATCACGAAAAGAGTTACAGGACATCCTTGGACTTTTTTAGTCTAATAATTAAAATTGCATTTAAAAGCCAACAGCAAGAAGGCCAGAAAAGATGGAAGATCAAAAGATTTGATGTTAATTGGAAGAATGAAGTGAGACGGATGGTTGATTCATGGAACCACAATTTTATCATAAAATCACTAGATGGGGTGGTAGGAGGGTTATTATGTTTCCCATCAATAAAATGTGAGATATTTAAAGACTCCACAGACATGGAAACTCACTTCTACCTCCCTCAGAGGTAATGGCAGGGGCTTGAGAAGGCTGTTGTGGAATGTCACACCTCCTTGGACTTCACATACATTACTGCTTGAGCAGGACTGAACACCTGTCTGGTCCAGTCCTGGTTAGGCAGGCATGTATGTGATGTCAGTTTACTAGCCAGAATGGGTTCCAAGGCAACAGTGTGATCAAGATGAGTTCTTCCTTGTCTCTGTTTTTGGCTTGTCTTGGTGCTAAATTCAATGCAATACAACAGCATGGTCATTTACCCTAAGATCTGCCTAAGAAAAAGAACAGCCCCTCCAAGTCTCAGCTGTCAGGGTTTAACCTCGCTCGTTTTATGTGGCTCTTCTCATCGTCCAGATGGCAGAAACCTTCTGTGGTGATGTCTCTTTTACTCTCCTCCATGGGTTCCAAAGGGAAGTCCTGGTCTGTGGCCAGTACCTGTCGGACAGTCATGTTAACACGAGCAGTTTTCAAGTAGCTGGCGCACACCTGCCAGTCCTCCATGGAGCAGCACTCTACCACCGAGTCCCTGGAGAGGACAGCTGGGGGAGGTGTTTCCAGGCAGCAGGGCAGACTTTCCCCCTGTGAACTTGGAAGGACCTTTGGAACTGCATGGTTCAACAGGCGGCTGAAACCTGACATTACCATGATGTCACCGCTGTGCATAAACATGGCTGTGGGGGCTTCATCTCTTTTGAGGCCACCCAGGAGAAAGATGGCAGACTGCCCAAAGCTACAAAAAAAATAAGTGAAACAATACAAGACAGTAAGTTTCTGTTACTAACCATGCAGGGAAAGTTATTGCTAATTGCATTATTTTCTAATTTCAATTTGATACTTATTAATTGTAAATCTTCCCTTTTTATTGGGTAAAATCTTCCTTTTTAAACTGTGCTATGATCCTTTCCTTTTGGCTTGTGTCTATAAGTGACCAATCCATGATCTGCTACTTAGACTTATAGCCCACAGGATTATGGTGAAATAAAATATGAAGCAGTTAAATAAGCAAAATAAGAATTCTTTTTTTTTTTTAAATCCTTACCTGAGGACAGATTCATTGATTTTTAGAGAGACGGGAAGGGGGAAAAAGAGAGAGAAAGAAACATCAAACGCCCCCCAACTAGGGAAAAACCCTGCAACCTAGGTATGTGCCTGGGCCGGGAATTGAAACTGAGACCTTTTAGTGTAGTGGAGGACACGTCAACAAACTGAGCCCCACCAGTCTGGGAAGAATTTATTTATTTTTTGTTTTGTTTTTAAAATTGATTTTAGAGAAAAAGATGGAGTGAGACAGGCAGGCAGACAGAGAGAAACAAACAACAAAGCATTGATCAGTTGCCTCCAGTACACTCCTGACCGGGGATCGAATCCACAATCTGGGTATGTGCCCTGACTGGGAATTGAACCCACCACCTTTTGGTGTACATACAGGACAATGCTCCAACCAACTGAGCCACACCAGCCCAGGAGGGAAGAATTTAGTTTTAATATTACCCATATAAGTTTTATTGATGATTCTGTAAGATTCAAGTCTTCCAATAAAATTAAAGTAGTCACCCTTTATCCAGTTTCACTTCCTGCAGTTTGTTACCTGTGGCTGACCGTGGTCCGAAAATATTAAATAGAAATAAACAATTCCAGAAATAAACAATTCATAAGTTTTAAATTGCATGCCATTCTGCCTTATTTTACTTACTAATGGCTCCAAAGAACAATAGTGATGATGGCAATTCAGATACACCAAGAGAAGCCATATAGTGGTTCCTTTAAGTGGAAAGGTGAAAGTCTTGACTTAATAAGGAAAGAAAAAGAATTGTTGCTAAGATATGCAGTCAGAATGAATCTAACCGTGAACTAGTGAAGAACGAAAAAGACTTTTGTGCTAGTTCTGTTGTTGCACCTCAAACTGCAAAATTACCACCACAGTGCCTGGTAAGTGTGTAGTTAAGATGAAAAAGACATCAGATTTGTGGGTGGAAGTCATGAACAGAAAATGTGTTCTGATCAACAGCAGTGCGTTGCACCCAAAAGCACTGAGCTTATACAAAGACTTCAGCAAGGTTCCCATGAAACTAGTGACCACAATCACATAACTTTTATTACAACATATTGTTATAATTATACTACTTTATTAGTTATTGTTAATCTCTTACTGTGTTTAATTTATAAATTAAACTTTATCATAGGTATGTATGTATAGGGAAAGAAGCATATGTACCGTTTGGTATTATCTGTAGTTTCAGGTATCCCCTGGGGGTCTTAGGATGTATCCCCTGTGGATAAGAGGGGACTATTGTGTTTAAGTTCTTTACTGTATTTATCACTCCTGTTCACTTTAAAGATAAGGTAATAATAAAAAATTCTGTTCAGGCATGTTCTCAGTTAGAATCAGGGGCAGTACTTTGCACAAATTTAAAGTTATGCTTAGGGAGACAAGAGGAGTAAGCTGTTCAGGCTTTTGTGCTTTGCTTTTCTCTATTCCAAAACAGATGTATGGCCTTCCCTTTGCCTATTCCACTGACACTTACAATACCTCTCATTACAAAAGGCAGACTCCATGCATCTTAAACAGAAATATTAACTATAATTTGGCCATGATTCTTAAAGGATTAGGCTAATTTTACTTATGATGCATTGTTAAAATACCCAGAAGTGAAAGATTATAGAGTCCAGCCATTTTTTTTAAAGTTTAATGTTTTTATTTTATTTTAGTTCAAAATGCTTTAAAAAATGGAATGAGGTGATAAAACATAATACCAAATCCCCAGAACTAACTTACCTGAATGACAGCAGGGGTTTGGAGTGATCTAGTTCAGATTTGTCCACGTGAATTCCCAGTGTAGAATCTAATCGGTAGTAATTCAGGATACCTGCTTCTGCTTGGAAACCCTGAAATCCACAGGCAGCAGCTACTTGCTCTGAGAGGAAAGCCAGGTCAGAAGGGAAAGGTGTATAATGATCTGCTGAGTATTTCTTTAATAAAAGTAGGGAAAATAAGAAAAATAAACAATGATCTCAGGAAAGTAAAAAACTGTGCTATAAGATTAATTACCACTTAAAAATCATCCCGCCTACATGTAATATTAGCATGGCATGATTCAGTCATCCATATTTTGAATGGCTCATTATTAGATTACCGGATGCCTCAAAATATGGATGAATAAATCATGCTATTCTAGCACTACATCACCTATGCTATAATGAAATAATTACTTCTTTTGAGCGTGAACCCTCTCCAAGCTGTCTATGCACTATTCTTTCTTCTCTGCTAACTCAGTTTTTGATAATTTTCACTCCATGTTTTTCTTAGTAAATGAGGCCCATTTTGAGGTTCTTGGAGAATAACAATGTCAACAATAAAAATAATATAAAAAAAATCAGCTAACATTTATTGTTAATGCATTTAACTGCTTACAACAGCCAGGCACTGTTGTAATCACTACACAGGCATTAATCATTTAATTATCATAACTACCATCAAGGTAGGTACTATCCTTGTTGAAGGCATAATTCAAACCCAGGTTGTCTAACCTGAAGAAAATCATATGGCCATTTCCCCAAGTACAGTTAATCTAGTTTTCCATTACTTGGCATCACTAAAACATAAGAGTTTTATAATGAACATTTTTGGGCAACACATCATTATTTTGATCAGTTAATATACTTGTTAATAAGCTGGGTTGACTGAAACTATAGAGCTTTTAGAAAGTAACTGGTTAGAAGCAAGGTGGTCTATTCCATTCTGTTTTATTCAGTTTACTCTCAGAATTAGTCTTTTTACGTGGTGGCAAATATCTCATTGAGACAAGAGGCACTGCACTGCCACTGATAAAGGAGGCATTCTGTGAAGCACAGAAGTCAGGAAAAAAACATACTCAAACAAAACAAAACAAAACAAAACAAAACAAAGCAAAGCAAAAACACACAACCATGAGATTTTGTTAATTTTAGGACATTCTTTCCCATCTCTCTCCTGCTCAGACCTTATGTAGCAGGCAGTGGTATTTAGATTCTGAAAGTCCTTTTGTGAATTGATGAGAACACCAGAAGTATAGGGATCCACTTTTATTCCAGGAAGGTATTACATAGAAAATAAATGCTCAACAATAAACAATGGAAATAAAGATCATAATTGACAACTGCTCTTTAGTATAAAAAAAAAAATTGATATCCCTGAAACCTACTTAGAGAAAACAAGGATAGTCTTTGATAAAATAACATAATGTGAGGGCATATGAAAAAGAATTTTTCTCTTGGTAAATTATCCATGTCTCTTGAGATACTGTATCGAGGGGATTTTAGGAGGGAATAAATAAGAGAGATGCTTCCTAAAATAGATAATATGATATTGTAAGCTTGGCTAGGAAGAAATCCCACTATGTGTGCCCAAGAAGCATAAAAATGGAAAATAATGGAATTAGCAAGAAAATTTGAATACCTTACTGTCCCAGTTATAATGGTAGCCTAGGGTCACCCACCGTAGTTTCTCAAGTAAGCTTCGGGGTCTCCGTTTATTCACTTCTTTATATCTGCAAAAATTAGAGGATTTATTAAGATATATTCATCGTAAATGGCAGCAACAGCTGTTTGTATGGACCCTAGAATTCAAATTTTTGTATTCTATGGAATAAGCTGTTAGCCAAGGTCTCGATAGGGGAAATTAGAACAGAAAAGTGAGTTGACCAAGAATGTAATATTAAAAAACACCTGGCCAGTGTGGCTCAATTGTTGAGCATTGACCCATGAACCAGGAAGTTACAGTTCGATTCCCAGTCAGGGCACATGCCCAGGTTGAGGGCTCCATCCCCAATAGGGGGTGTGCAGGAGGCAGCTGATTCTCTTTCATCACTGATGTTTCTATTGTTCCCTCTCCCTTCATCTCTCTGAAATCAATAAAAACATAAAACAAACACAAGGTGACTAAGAAGCCCCAGTGCCGACAGAGCTGCCATATCCACCCATAGGAATGCAGGGAATATTTTGGCACTTAACCTAACTTTAAATCTTTATCCAATCATCTAAAAGAATGTTTTCAAGCAAGTGTGACCCTAATTATTGGTTCTTACTGCCAACAGAAATGCTATGCTCCCTGCCCCTGCTGCTCCTCCAGGTACTAGCAGGATGATGGATGGGTGGACTGGTCACCTTCTTCCCTGGTGAATGTGCCCACACAGCAGTTTGCTCACTTTCTGTCATGGGTAAGTGCTTTAGGTAAGTGTTGGCATTTCTCTCAGCAATCATGTTGCACAGCACTGCTTCAGCCAAACCCTAACTGTAGAAATAAACTCCTGTCCTGCTTGTCCACTCTCTGTGCAGTGGCTAGTTTGGGTGTCAAAATTAAGCACTGGTATTTTTTTTCTTGCCTCAAGGGACATTAGTGAATCAAAGTACTCAGGACATAAAAAGTCTAAAGTTGTTTATTAAAAACACACACACAAAACAAACAAAAAACCCTTCAAAATCCTATGGCAGGTATTTTTATTTTTATTTTTACAGGCTTGGGAATTGTATCTTTCACCACTGTGAATATTTCCCTCCATAACCACCGCTTTCTGTCCCAAAGTTCCATCTCTTGTCCCTAGAACTCCATTTTTTTTCTGTATTTGAGTGCTTTCAGTTTGTCTCCTTTCTCAACCTGAATCTCCTGGTCAATCACTGGTCAGTCACTGCAAATGAACATCAAATTTTATCTTAATTGCTAACATCCTTCTGCTATTTTGCAAATATTTAGTCTTATCTAATCTTTTGCCTTCTGCTTTGAACCTTCACCATTCATCTCAAGTTCTCAGTCCTTATTCCCTTCTAGGACACTGAGAACAGCAGTCTGATGAAATTGATACTGTTGTAATTAGCTAGTTATTAGTAATAAGAAAGGAGCGAAGGGAAGGGCAGACATATAGGCACGTCCCCTGCAAAACACCAGGGGAGGGATCCAACGAAGGGAAAATAGATGTATGTCCAGTAAAGTTGGGATGACATAGGGAAGGTACTTGCCTGTCACACCTGGCGACAGAGATGATTAGCCAGAATGGGCATGGCCATTGCAAGCACACTGAAATTTGGGATAGGAGTGAAGGAAGAAGTTCACTCTTGCTTCCTCTTGGCACACTTGGCTCATGGCTCATGCTTGGCTTTCCTGTGTGGCCCATGGCCATGTGGACCCTCACACGCAATGGACTAATGGACTGCAACTAGCCTGATGCTGAACTGGACCCGGCTCCAACTTGGAAAGGAAACTCTGGA